GGAACCAAAGCAGGCTGTGCACACGGCTATGGCGTTTTACACAGGCTGCGGGGCTGGGTCTCGCTGGAGCAGGAAGGACGGGCTCAGAGTCCCAGCACAAGGCACTGACCCTGTTCTAAGAGCCACAGGCCCCACAGGCTCTGCCAGAGGCCCTGGGCTGCGGCTGCTGGTCACAATGGGGGGCTGTGTTAGGGGCTGGGACCATGAAGGGAGGCTCTGTTGAGGGCTGGACTGGACACGGGCCACTGCTATCTCCACAACCTCTTGCCTGAGACACATAGGGGTCCTGGCTCCCACCTCCTCCTGTCTTGTATCCACCTGGGAAGGAGAATGCGCACGCAGCTGGGCCATCAGAGGCAGCCTGTCCTCCGCGTTCCTGGCTCCGCAGAGCGGGAATCCCTCGCTGGCTGAACCCCCAGCTCTACAGACAGCCTGAGGTGGAGCCTGGCCTTGGCAGGTCCAGGCAGTGTGCTCCGGGGGATACCTCGCTTCCCTCACTGGCCCTCAGGGCCCTCACCTGAGCAGCAGGGCTGGGACCTGCTTCACCAGCCACTTGGAGGAGTAAGGGAGAGCTTGTCTAACCGGCACGTGGTAAATGCCCAAGAACCGTCGGCTTGTGCAGCTGCTGTGGAAAAGTCTGGTGAATCCTGAAACCATTAAACACAGTCACCACGTGACCCAGCAGTCCCACTCCTGAGTGCCACCCAAAGGACATGATATCACACGTCCACATCAAAGCTTGCACACAAGTGTGGGAGCAGTTGAAAGATGGAAACAGCCCACGTGTCCCTCAATAGGTGGTGCTGTTGTTGGGTGCCCAGTTGGCTGCAACTCACAGCGATGCCATGTACAGCAGAACGCAACACTGCCCGATTCCAACACATGACGGATGAACACAGCGGGGCCCATCCACACGATGGCACATGACTCAGCCACGGAGAGGGACGTGGCTGAGCCTCTAAAACACAATGCCGAGTGAGAGAAGCCACACACAGGTGGCCACGTGGCCCGTTTATGGGGAAGTCCAGAACAGGCAACTCTAGAGAAACAGAAAGTAGATCAGTGGTTGCCTGGGCGAGGCAGAGGGGAGGGACGTTAATGTGTGTGGGCATTCACTGAGTCCCAGCTGTGTGCCAAGGAGCTCTGGTGGTACAGTGGTTAAGAAATTTGGCTGCGACCCAAAAGGTGGCTGGTTTGACCCCACCAGCTGCTCTGTACAAGAAAGATGACACAGTCTGCTTCTGTAAAGATTCACAACTTGCAAACCCAATGTGAGTCTCTGAGTCAGAATCCAGTGGATGGCACTGAGCTTGGTTTTGGTTCTTGCAGTGTGCCAGACTCTGTGAGACAATGCCTATTCTCGGGACAACAAGGTGGGCTAGGCACCATGTCCGCCCCTCACACTCCCACTGCCCTTACCCCAGGTTTGCAGAACACTAAGCTTTGAAAGAGCGGTTACACAGCTGAGGTGGCCGGAACTCCCATTCACACTCACTCTTGGCGCTTCCCAGACCGGTTCTCCGTGTCACTGCCTTGCTGGTGCGTCCCCTTTAAGACGGGGCGGGGCTACGCGATGACGGACGGAGAGAATGAGGCAGGAAGCGCTCGTCACGTGCCCGGAGGGGCGGGCGATGCCGACAGGAAGCGGAACTGAGTGTCAGGAGGCTCTGGCGGCTGGAGTCGGGTGCTTAGGTGAGGCGGGGGCGGTGCCTCTGCGCTGAAAATGAGGCTGAGGTAGAGCCGGACCCTGAAGCCCTCCGCCGCGTGGGGTCTTACGGACGGAGGGGCGGGGCAGGGCGATCCCTGGGGGCGGGGCAGGGAGGGTGGCCCGAGCAGGGCTCTGACGGGTGCATAACAGTTCGTTAGGCGGGAGACACGGCTGTGGCAAATGCTGAGAAGTAGATCCGCCAGTTATAACGCTCCCTTCCCTCCTGCAGGGATGGGCTCCAAGGCCAAGAAGCGCGTGGTGCTGCCCACCCGCCCGGCGCCCCCCACGGTGCAGCAGGTCCTGGAGGACGTGAGGGGGGCGCCGGCCGCGGACCCTGTCTTCACCGCCTTGACTCCAGAAGGTATGGGGAGCCCAGGCCCAAGCAGGGGAGGGCGGCCCGAGACCCAGCAGCAAGGGGGAGTAGACACGGCCCTTGGTACCCCAGTCCTGTGAAGCGGTGGAATGCTCCAACCCTCACTCGAGCCCACTTCCTTTCTCCCAAAGCATCTCAAATCCTGTCACTCGAATCCCTTCTCCACCCCGCTTCTAGGGACCCCCCCCCACCCAGGTCACTCCCTGGGCGTGTCCTTCTCCCCCACTCCCTCTCATTAAAGCCAGGCTCACCTTCAGAGCATCCATCGTCTCTGCAAACTAACAGCTCCTGGGAAACTGCCTGTTTTTGTGGAGTCTCTGGGTGGTGCCTAGTGGCCCAGTGGTTAAAGCATTCGTTTGCCAATCATAAGGGTAGCAGTTGGAACCCACCAGCTGCTCTGCTGGAGAAAGGTGGCACTTGGGTTCCTAAAGATTGACAGCCTTGGAAACCCTGTGGGGCAGTTCCACTCTGTCCTCTAGGGGCGCTGTGAATCGGAATCGACTTCACGGTGGTGGGTTTGGTTTGGTTTTGATTTGGATGACCCCAAAGGTTGATGCACCCGGCTGGCTGCTAACTGAGAGGCTGCAGGTTCGAGTCTACCCAGAGACAGCTTACAAGAAAGGCCTGCCTGAACGACTTCCAGAAAATCAGCCATTGGAAACCTTATGAGAAGTAAAATAAATTTTTAAGAAAGGCAAAACTATCAGGAGACATATACCAACACTGTGAAAAAGAAAAAAGAAAGACAGTCCTGTGTGTGGAGCACAGATCCACACTGACACACGTGGGACCTCACAGCTACTGGTTTTTATATAAAGTTTTTTAATTTGTATTGTGATTTGGGTAAAGTTTACAGAGCGAATTCACTTTCCATACAGCAGCTCACATACACATTTTGTCTCATGACATTGACTGCAATTTCCCACAATGCAACAGCTCCCCTCCCACTTCCTCCCCATAGTCACCTCTTCCCTTTGTCCTTCCCTCCATGCACCCCTGCCCCCTGAGCTGTCTCCCTGTGCATACACAGCCCTTCTATTCTCCCATGATTGATCGCTCCAAGGAGTATATCTACCTAATGGAAATGTTCAGCTCATATGCCTGTCTTTTGTTTGGCTGGAAGCCACAGGTGTGGGTTCAATTCCAGACCTGAAGGGCAGCTAGGGGCCACAGTCTCAGTGGTTCCACCAAGCTCTATCAGACCAGCAAACCTGGTCCCCTCCCTTTTTTTTTTTAATGATTTTGGGTTTTGTTCCACATTGTTTTCCCTCTCTATCCAGGATCTCCTCCATAGATCCTCCTCTGAGTGGTTGACAGTGGTAGCCAGGCACCATCTAATTCTGGTCTCATAGTTGTATAGGCTGAGGATGGCATGGTGTACCAGTCGCTTGGACTAATTGTTTCCATGAATCTTTGGTTTTCTTCGTTCTTCTTTGTTCTGGATGAGGAGAGATCCATCGTTGCGTCTAGATGGCTGCTTGCCAGTTTTTAAGACCTCAGTAGCTACTCACCAAAGCAGGTTGTAGAACAATGTTTTTGTGTAGTGTGTTATGCTGTTTGAGCTTGATGTCCCCTATGACCATGGTCCAGCTTCTTGCTCCCTCAGGTAGCTGGCTGTGGCCAAGAAGTCACCACAACCTTGTTCTTTGTCAGCCCTGCTATACACCTGGACATTGTCACAGCACATAGAGATATACATGTAAACATCGTCTGCCAACCTGATATGTGGTCAGGTTTTTGTATAAAGTTTTATTGGCAGCCGTGCACACCCGCTCACTGACACACTGTCCATGCTGCTTAGCCACAGCGGCAGTGATGAGGATTGGCTGGACAGAGGCCCCTGCCATTCTGACCTTACTAACCATCTGGCCTTTTACAGGGCACAGTTAGCCACGCCCCAGTTTAGAAGGTTTAGAAGGTGAATCAGGTCAGCGACTAATGGACCAGGTGCACACATTTGGTGAATTCGCGTTCTTCTGAGGTTCAAACCCACAAGCTGTTCCATGGAAGGACCACCAGGCGATCTACTTCCAGGAAGATTTACAGCCTCGGAAACCCAACGGGGGTCGCTGTGAGTCAGAAATCAAATCAGTGGCAGTGAGTTTTGAGTTTATTGTGAGGTTCATACATTCAACAAGTGTTTACTGAGCACCTCTTCTGTACCGGACCCTGACCGAGGCTCTGGGGCTAGAGAGATGAACAAAAGAAAAGTAACTTAAAAATTAGAGTCAGATAGGGAGCCTTTGATGGCGCAGATGGTTAAGTGCTCAGCTACCAGCCGAGGCTGGCGGGTCAAGGCCACCTGCTTCTGTAAAGATCCGAAACGTAAACCCAGACCCCCAGCCGTCGAGTGGCAGCTGACTCATGGCAACCCCCCGGGCTCTGAGGTGGTAAATCTCTACAGACGTAGGTTTCCCCATCTGCCTTCCACGGAGCAGCTGGTGGGTTTAAACGCCCACCCTTCAGTTAGCAGTCAAATGCCTTATCCACTAGGCCACCAGAGTTCCTTCCTGTAAAGATTACAGGCTATGAACCCATCTGGGGCATTTTCGTGTGTTACGGGGCCACTGTTGGTCAGGCTGACTCGGTGACACGCAACAGGGCGTGGGGCTGGCAAGTGGGCAGCAGGTGGCCACATTGCATGGCAGTAAATCAAGGCGTCTGAGGAGCACGAGCGCACCGTGTGGACACGAGGTGACATCTCGTGTACTGTATTATGAGTGTACTATAAAAATAGGCCAAGTTCCCAGCACCTCCCCTGAATGTGTGCTGAAGTCGCCCCCACAGTGGGCCCGTGCTGTCCAGTACGGTAGCCGCCGGCCACGTGTGTTCTTATGGTGTGAATTAAATGCAGCAAAGTGAAGAATTTAGTTCTGCACTTGACCCAGCCACGTTTCCAGTGTTCAGGAGCCACATGAGGCTGCCACAGTGGGCGGCGTGGATGGCAACACCCGCCCTCGGGACAGTTGTGTCGGGCAGAGGGTAGGCTCCTCCTTTGAGGTGGCCCGGTGTCAAGGCCAGAGCGGAGATCCAGCAGTCTTCTGAAGCTGCGTCGTGCGCGCCTGCTGTGTGCCTGGCCTGGGGCTCAGCCTTTCTAATGGAGTGGAAACGGTTAAGTGCCTGGCCGCTAACCACGAGCTCGGTCGTTTGGGTCCACTCAGGGAGCTCAGAAGAAAGGCCTGGCAATCCCCTGCTGACAGATCCACCCCTGGAACCTTGTGGGGGCCACGGGGGGCCTCCGGAGGTCGGAGTCAACCTGGCGACAGCTGCTTTGGTTTCTGATTTCCTGGGCCCCTGGGCAGTGACTCTGCCGTGTCTCGTCCCCAGAGCCCGCAGGCCCTTCTGGGAGGGCCGAGGACACTGCAGCACGGCGGGAGCAGCTGTACCAGCAGAGCCGGGCCTACGTGGCCACCAACCAGCGACTGCGGCAGGCCGGCGAGGGGCTGAGGCACGAGTGCGAGGCCCTGCGGCGCGCCGGCGAGGAGCTCGAGCGAGGCGTGGAGCAGGTGGCACGGGCGGCTCTGCCCACGGCCACCCCCTCAGGCTGACCCCCATGTGCCCCCGGACCTGGAAGGAGCAGGGAGAAGCCAGTCATGTTCCAGGACACCCCCCTTCCCTTTGTTTGGCATGGTCCAGGCCCAGGCCTTCCTCCTGCCTGAATGAAAGGCCAACTTCTGCTTCTCCATTTTATGAGTTACCCAAGAGATGCTCTTCACACATGGCTGCGCTCCTCACCCAGCAGGCACCGAGCACGTGCCCCCCGGTGGAATCTCAGCCCTGCCACCGACGCTGTCTGCACGCCTCACATGCAGCAGGGGCGGCTGGAGTGCCTGCCTCAAACAGGAACCCTCCCAGGGGGTGAGGTCAGGGCGGCTTGCTGTGACTCGATGGCCTTCTGGGCCCCCTGGTGGCCCTGTGGACCCCACAGCCTGGTAGAGTCCAGGCTGCTTGGACCCACCCCAGCCGGCACTCCTCTGGCTTGGGCTCTGTGGACTCCCCACTACACCCCTTGCTGCACTGCCCGGCCCCTTCTCATCCTGTGAGAAGCCTCCTCTGGCGTCTCAGGGGCCCCTGCAGGCACCATCACCACCCGTGGAGATGGCATTGACGTGTGGGGCACCTCAGGCGAGCTCCCCCAGCTCCTGCCCTGGCGTTCAGAAAGTACCAGATGCAGTCCGGTCTGCAGCAGTAGGTGCCGTGTTCTAGGCCCTGACTGACAGGCGCCCGGGCCACATTTGGTTTTGGCTGTCCCCAGAACAAACCCCACCCCCTTGCCTGCGTGTGGAACCGCTGGCCCGTGGTGCCGATCACGCCCCAGGGCTCCCGGTGGCCCAGCTACGACCCGCCTGGCACTGCTCCCGGGCCCTGACCGAAGCTGCTACTCGGGAGAGCATCACTGGGATCTCGGAGAAGCAGCGTGGAGGGCATGAGCTCTGTGGAGAAGCCGTGGTCTGAGCCGTGTCAGGGGCGGACTGTGGGGGCACCGCTCCCGGCCCAGGTCACTCCGCGGCGTGGCCGCAGGTGGCTCGCGGCTGCTCCCTACTCTAGGTGGCAGAGGTGCTCCCACCGCTGCTAGGTCACAGCGCCCTCCCCAGGGGGTGGCCGGAGGCCAGTGACTGACAGATACGGGGGTAGGAATGCCGGGGCCCCGGGATCGTGACAGAGCTCACTCCGGGGTGCGGTTCTTGCCCAGGGTTCCCCTGGGATCAGGCTGAGGCCGGCTCAACTCCTTCCCTCTGCACCTCACTTCCCTTTCCCCAAAGCCCCCCAGTGAAGCCCGTCAGTGAATCCTCAGGCTCCGTTTCTGAACCCCCACCTAGATGGGGACAAAACCGCCCACTTGAAAGCACTCAACCCAGAGCCTGGCATACAGCTAGCGCCCAGTAATGCTGGTGACCCGCGGGCCAAAGGTCACCCACTGCGGGGGCCTGGACCGACTGCCTCCCACACGGCACCCGCTCCCGTCCCCTGGAGCAGCTGGAGGCCTGCAGCCTGGCAGCCACAGCTCGCCCGCTGGCCGCCGCGGACTCTGCCTTCAGGGACCTCCCTCTCAGCAAAGCGTCCTCACTTTTTCCTTTGCTTTTCTGGCAAATGAATGGACAGTGGATGCGGTGAAGCCCCCTCTGCACCCTGACCCCTGTGTCCATCGCGAGAACAAACGGGGGTGCAGGCAGCAGCCCAGGTTGTTGATTCCACAGCGAGTTTATTAAAAGGAACACGGGAGCTGGTCCCACTCCACTGGGTCCTTCAGCTGGATATGGGGCCGGGCATATAGGGCTTGGAGGGGCATGGCGCTATTTACATGTTTCCTTGAATACTGTGTGGGGACCCAGTGCACTGGTGCCAGGGATTGCAGAAGCGAACCACACCACCAACTGGGCATGGTCCGTAGTGCTGGGGCCACTGGGCAGGGGTGACAGGCAGGGTGAGGTATGTGTTGGCCACTCAGGTGGGCTGCAAGGGGGCATATCGTCCCAGATTCTGCACCCAACTGGGGGTGGGTTACGAGGAGGTGGTAGATGGGGGATCAGCCTTAGCGCTGAGGCCACTGGCTTGTGGGGCTGGCACACCAGGCCCCACCCTCCAGGCCCGGAGGCCTCAGGTTCCAAAGCTACCATGGCTGGTGTGCTCTCAGCCAAGACCTGCAGGGGACATGAGATGGCCCGTGGTGGCACCAGTGTTTGGCGGGAGAGTGTCATTTGGCTTCTAGGACTTTTGATTCCTCAGCCCCCGCCTTGGGCTGACTGTTCACGGAGCACGCCCCCTCCATCTCCCGCAGTGAGCCCCTCCCCTCGTGGCTGCACTGAGGTGTGCCTGTGCCCACAGCCAGCGCACAGAGAAGGCAGGAGAAACCAGCGGGCATGGCCCGGGGCAGGGCGGCTGGCGGAAGGGCTGTGCCCTGGTGCAGGCTGGGCGAGGAGGGAATTTGCAGAAGTGGCCGGCCGGCTGAGTTCATGAGCAGCACCGCTGGGCCACGGGCTCCCGATTCCGTACCTGCTTTGCTCCCCCAAGAGGTAGCACTGCCATGCCCCCACGGCCCACGTGGGGAGACCGAGGCACCGTGGTCTCACAGTGAGTGGGCGGCCAGGCTCCACTTGTCCCCATCATGCCCTCCCGGTATTTGAACTAAGTTCAAGGGGCCTCGGCCCCTTCCCCACCCACCAGGGAAGAGCCCACAGCCACAGCCCCTGAACACCAACTCCACAAAGGCCCCAAAGAGACCCATCAGGCCCCCGCATGGGACACCAGGCCCCAGAGCTGTCTGAAACCCCATGTCCTCAGGAGACAGGTATGGCCCTTGGTTATATACCCTGTGGGGCTTCGGGAACCTCCGCAGGGCCCCCACCCTGCTCAGGCACACCCTAGGGTCCCACAGCCTCCTGCTCAGTTGTGTCAGCAAACCCCGGGCAGATGGGGCAGCTGCAGCCACACACCCAGGACCATTTTGTGTGGGTGAGAGCCACCAGCCAGCATGGTGTCCAGACATCGTCTGCCTTGGCCGTCCGGCCCACACCCCTGTGGCTTAGCCGTACGCATCAGTTCTGAGTATCTGAGCCCACAGAGGCAGGGGTGGGCTCTGGGGTTGTGGCCCTGTCGGAGGGCCCAGGCGGAGAACACTGCTGGAGACGCCTCAGTTCCCGGGCTGGGCCTCCCCCTGAGGTCCAGGGCACTGGTATCTCACTACAGGAGGCCAATCTGAGTCCACTCCCCTCCCACCAGCTGCCGCAGCCCTGTGGCTGCCAGCTCCCTAGTCGGTCGTGGGCCTGCTTGCTCTGGAGTTTGGGGTGGGGGTGGGGGGTGCTGTGGACAGGGTGGGGTCCTGAGCACCTTCCCCTGAGGGCAGCGCCCAAGAAGCCAGCTCTCCGAACCACATCTCCTCCCAGAATAAAGGCGGGACATGGCTCTCTGCAAGGTGGCTGTGACAGCAGACCCGCTGTGTTCGCAAAGAGCAGTCCCTTCCGGAACTTTGCAGGATCCTGCAGAAAAGACGTGGTTGGGTCTTTCTGCAGGAGGCACACGCTGCCCACCCCCACACTGCCCACCCCCACCGTGCCCGGTGTGCTGATGGGCCTGGTCGCCCGGGCAAGGACGAAACTCCAACTTGCACACACACTCCGTGGGGAGGCCACAGCCTGAGTGTCCTCTAGGGGTTTGCTCCACAAGCCCCACAGCTTCACGAATCCGTCAGCGAAAACAAAACCGAGGAGGAAGACGACAAGACCAGTCGGCGCCGCCAGCAGAGGGCGCCCTTGGCTGGCTCACTGCACTTCCTCCTCTAGAAGAGTGTGGGGGAGGCAGAGCGCAGCCTGGGCGGTGGGGGTCCCACAGGGACCCTGTGGAGCTGGCCCAGTCCACTGCCTATTGCAGCCAGTGATGCTGACCTGCCGACCTTGGAGTCACCCCAGCTGGCTTCCTGGGATCAGCCCAGCCCTCGGTGCGGCGGTCTCCATGCCCACCTCTTTCACCCCCTCCAGGGGTGCACAGGGCAGGCCGCCAGCCTCACATACTAGCACCTCCCGGGGCGCCCCGGCTCTGCAACGTCTTTGTCTCTCCGGGGCTGTCCTTCCGTGGGGTTCTGCTTCACCCCACAGCCCGGCGCCAAGAGCTGAGAGCAAGCAAACAAACCCACAGAGCCGTCATTAACAAATTACCCTGCGCCGTAATTACAGGCGCCGTAATTACAGGCTCGGGTGCGCGGCACCCAGCTGGATGGCTCCCCCGCCCGGTCCCCTTGGCGGTGCGGCCCCCACTCCTGCAGCACTCAGCCCCAGGGATTCGACAGCCCTTCCGAAGGACCTGGTGTCCCGAGAGGAAGAAGCGAGCTTGAGGTCTCAGTGGCCTGCTGCCCCATCTCCTAGCCTGAGCTGGGGAGTGGGCTCCTTGGGCTGCACCCCGGGCTGACCAAAGGCCCGGGGCGGCCCCTTTCCTCCCGCGGTCCCGGGGCAGAAGCTAGCTTTTAGGCGGAAGCTGTGAGGCCCAGAGCGAGGAAGGCGGGGCCTCCGAGGGCAGGGACCGCGTCCGAGCATCAGCAGAACGGGCCCACGGGGCCGCCGGGCAGGGCCACGGAGCCGGGAGAGAACGTTTCGGAAGGCCACCCTAGGCTCCTATTCCAGGAGGCCGGCAGGGGCAGTGGCGGGGGCCTTCTCCACGGCCGAGTCAGAGGTGGCCACTGCCGCCATGGGGCTGGGCACATAGTTGAACGGGGGCACCCGGACGGAGCGGCTGGGCGAGCCATGGCGGCTAGCCGGGAAGCCCCCTGCGGGGACACCCAGGCTCTCATGGGCGAAGGGGGCGGCAGGAGGCGCCTTGGGAGGGCTATGCCCGTCCACGTCGGTGCCGAGGGTTCCTGGGCCAGCGGCTGGGCTCTGGGGGGGTTCACGGCTCTCCAGACTCGGGGAGGTGCTGGAGTTGGTCTTGGCAGCGGCGAAGTCTTCGGTCTGAACTACAGCGTCGCTGGTCTTGCGCAGCGGCAGGGGGCGGCCTGAAGCGCCCTCAGGCGCGGCAGCGCCCACCAGCGGCAGGGCGGAGGCGGGCAGGGTGCTGCGCAGGATGTGCGGCACTTCCTCGTCACGGATGCGCCGCCACGTGGTCCCCGGCGCGGCCACCCTGGGCAGTGCCCGGGCCTCGCCGTCGCTGCCGCGGCGGGTGGCGTCAGCAGGAGGCGCAGGGCCTGCAGCATCGGGGCCGCGGGCCACGCTGATGTGCGGCAACGACGCGTAGCGCCGGACAGCTTCCGGCCGGGGGACCGGCGTGCGCACGGGCAGGCGGCTCGGGCTCTCGGAGCTGGTGCGCCGGGGCGGTCGCGCGGCAGGACTGGGCCCGGGGC